TATTATAGATACATTAGCCAGGACATGCTCAGATGGAAGGTTTCTGCCGTAACTGCTTCCTGCACGAACAAGGCTGGATGGACAGATGAAGCTTGAGTTGTGACTTCTCTTCATGACCTGAACTCTGGAGACTTGAAGCATTCTCTTCGCTTGCGTCGCGGATTAGCCACCCAGTGTTTTGCCTTTTTCGTGTGAACAATGGGGCGCTCTCCAAAGGAGACACGTCGTTGCCAACGGCTGTGTGCATGTGTGCGCGGGTGCGTCTGTCTGTCTGTCTGTCTGTCTGTCTGTCTGTCTGTCTGTCCGTCTGTCTGTCCGTCTGTCTGTCTGTCTGTCTGTGTCTCTGTCTGTCTGTCTGTCTGTCTGTCTGTCTGTCTGTGCAGATGAGCTGTGCAAAAATCTTGAGTAAGAGAGAAGCGCCTGCCCTCTCGATGCAGACAAGCGTCCAGCTGTCGGTCCGTCAGCTTCCTGGCTCGGCAGAGATCTGCTTTGAGCATGGCAAGTGCTGAGCAGAAAGCGGCAAGGGAAGGATGTCTAAAGACGCAGAAGTCCAGCCAGGGCCACCTGAGCCCTGTCATCACAGGACCCTGGCTCATGGTCGACCTTGCCATGCCTTCAGTGGGAGTAGAGACTCAGCCAGTCAGCTGGGCAAGAAATCCGGCTTCAACACATGAGCAACTCTCCATGGCGTCCCAGCTGTCAGAGCGGGAGCCAGGGAACTCAAGGATCCCTACAACAACCAAGCACCTGTTGCATTGACAAGCATGAAGCTGGGTCAGCCACACTCGTACTTGAAGTCAATCGTGTCCCAAGCCTTTGTCGGCTCAGGCATGGGCGGCACTCGTCAAAGAGATGCGAGCGTGTCGCTTTCGAGGGCTCCATGTTATCATGTACGTCGACAGGTAATTAACTATGTAACCGTCAGTGTACAACAATTCACATGTCATTTCGAAAAGCCTAAAATGGAATATGCTAGCCACCAGCCTGTTTGTTCTTGAATACGCCTTCCACTGAGAAAAGATCGAAGCAAACCAGCAGCACGGCCTAAGATGTTTGGCATACGTTCGAGGGAACTGACGTCTTCAGTCGTTTCTTCACCTCTAAACAGCTCGCCTGTCAGCATCCGTGTCCCAACATCCTCAACCTCCACCCTGCGGCAACTTCGCGCCCGACAAACCCCTGCGTCAGACCCATCCCGACTCTCAACTCAAAGTTTTAGTTCTACACCCTGACTCTAAGCCTGAAGCCGTACATGCCGGAAACCCTGAACCCCAAGACCCTGGATGCCCTACATTTTCAGCGGAAGGGGGCCCTGGGAAAATACTCCCGTAATCAGGAGATAATCACCAAACAGGGAACTGTAATGGCTAATTTGGGGGCAGGTCTTGTCGATAACTACAGTACTTCAGTGCCTCCTGCATCTGTAGCCCCCGGCATGAAGCAACCAAAGCGACCAGATCCCCCAGACCTTCGTCGGAGCAGAGCAGAGTTCAGAAGTTCAGAGCAGTGAGGCAACTTGGTACAGTAGGCTGTATGTCACAAGTTATGTGGGTGTATGATACCGTGGCAATGTAGGTTCATAGAGCTTCAGACACTGAGTGGGAATCTTGCGTGCAGAAGCTGAACTCGCCGCCCCCCCCCCCCTCCCACCGACGGAGCTTCGGGTTATGGAAGCAGGTGACTGTAAGGGTTCATAGCCTGCCTGTCTGTAACGAAAGAGGAACCTCTCTTGACATTCCTCGCGCGCACGGGGCCTAGGGTGTAGTGGCCTAGGATGGCCTAGGGGTCTCCAACTTTGACCGAGAGGGTGTGGGCAGTGATGGTCGCAAGGAGACCGAGGGCAGTTCGCAAAGAATTCGCAGGGACTCGGCGAGCATTCCCAGAACAAGCACCTGAGATCACAAATGCCCGTGAGGTCCAAACCGAAGGCGCGGCCCAACAGCATGAATAAAAACACTTCAACGTGCCGCCACGGGGTTCCAACAGCATTTTTCCTCGGACAGCGGCTGCATCCAGGAGACCATATGAGCGCCCAGGGAGCACGAAGACCTGGCATGCGTATAACAGCCACAACGGCTCGCCGAAGGCGCCCCCGACTCTGAAGCCCTCCTTAACTCCCATGTCTTGCAAGCTTGCCCACATCACTGACACCGCGTTGAAGTACATCACGACAGAGCCCAGTTCCCCGACCTCAGGACTGAGTCAGAGCATCTGAAAGCCCTCTCGGGAAGTATGCAGCCGCCACAAACCTGAGGCCTCTGCACAGAACTCGGCATACCACTTCTTCATTCTCAAAGTATTTGGACTGGTCACCTGCTGTATGGATCCAAACAAAGCGACACTAGCAGGCAAGCCTGTGAGAGCACGTCCACACACCCATACGGCATTGAAGCTGCTTGGTCCAAGGGCCGGGGGCAGTGTCTGTAAATGCTTTGTAGAGGTGTATATATGTACACGCATCTACATATATATGCACAGATGATGCTTCTGCATGATGTTTGTATGAACACACACCAATCACACACGTACATGCATGCATACATACATTCCGCACATTGACATGAGCAAAGACAGACAGACGGACGGACGGACGGACAGACCGACAGACAGACAGGCAGACAGACAGACAGGCAGACAGACAGACAGACAGACAGACCGACGGACGGACGGACGGACGGACGGACTGACAGACAGATACACAGACACACACGTGCACAGTGCACACATACATACATAGATACTACATATGCATAAATATGCATACAGACAACAAATATGCAAACGTCTGCCTGCAGTCGATCACATGCTTTCTCGTATTTCCCGCACTGTCTCCAGCAGAAGCGCACCTTGTCCGAGAAAAGTATCGGCAAGGCGCGGAGCAACAAGATGGGACAAACCTGGCATCCCATATGTCCTTATGGACATATGGATCCCATGTGGTGCTTATGCATCGTATGACAATTATGGTGTTTGTGGATCTTGGTCCCGGTTATGATCGTGCCGGTAGTATCTGGCTTATGTCATTATCAACTCGAATGACAGCATCTACTTTAATGCCACCCTACTGACGACCAGTATCCTTTGCAACAGAAGGTACACGCATCTTTACTGATAGCTATTTCAGACGTTTTCAGTAGCTGTCTTTTCTGCGAGAGTTGGTGGAGGTCCATGGTGCTTGCAAGCAACTGCGAGCGAGCATCTCCGATCCAGACAGTCCTACTCGAGAGCTGGGGTCGCTTGGCAAGGAGTCGAGAACATGTGGGGGGTTGTCAAAATTAGGGTCCCTTTTTGGGTCCTTATTCTAATACGGCACCTCTTATTTAGGGTACCCAAAAGGGACCCTAATTTGACAACAACCCATGTCGAATGTGAAAAACAGCATGCAAACTGGCCAGGCCACGATGCGAAGTCCGGCGAGGATGTACCACAGCCTCCGTCAACAAGGAACCCGCTGAGAAGTGCGGCTTTTACAGCTTGTCCTAAAACCCCTGACGTAACCCGACCAACTCATGTTTTCGTTTAGGCAGTGCTGGGTAGCGTGCCACTGCGGAGCCCAAAGCCACGTCTCGCCTGAACGGCAGCTATTTGCGGGCTGCGGCAGTAATGGTAGTAGCAACAGCGACAACGGCAATGGTCCAAGCTCCAAGCAACAGCAAGAAAAAAGTAGCACTTGTTAAACACTACTTCTAGCATTTAGCAAAGGTATCCCTGACAGCGATAAACCTTCGCAGAGATCGTACACAGATGCCATGCCTTCCGCCAGCTCCGGCGGGTTGAACAGCTCCAGAACTGCGACCTCCCAGCGGCATTGTGCAAGTTGTCTGAACCGTCAGTACCCCAAATCCTCACCGTGTCCTCACTTTCCCTTTCCCTCCTCTGGTCCCTTTGTCACGCTATCTTCCTTCAAGCGTGTCGGGTTTAGGGACCCGAAAGTACCACCCAAAACAGGACAGGGAAGGTCGATGACCGATCCGAGGCGGAGGCGGGCAACTCGATCAGGGTCGTAGGCCCCAGAAAGAAGAAGAAGCCCACGAGATGAAGCAGCACCTGGGCTTTTGCGGGCTTGGGGTTTAAAGGTTTATAGAGTTTGTGGTATGTAGGGCTTAAGGCCTCCAGGGTTTAAGAGTTTAGGGTTTAGGTTCTTTAAAATTTACGGGATTCGGATCTAGGGTTTTAGAGTTTCGGATTTCGGGCTTGGGTTGTAGATTTGATCCGCTGAACACGGCTCTCGCCGAGAGGTGGGATAGTGCCGCTTTCACATGGTTTGCATGGATTTGCCGGTTCCTGTTCTTACTATTCTTGCTACCAGTGCTCTTACTGCCCAGTGTCGAAAATGTCACTACACGGTTGTTCCTTAGCGTTCTGACTACTCAAAACCCCAGATTCGTAAGCGTCACAAACTTCGAATAACCCTAAACTAAACACGAAAAACACGAAATCCTCAGCCCCCTTTAAATTGGAAAGATCCTAAACCCTCCGTCCATTTCAGGCCGCGGGCCCATTGGAAGACATAGAGGGTGTCCAGGTCAGAGACAGGCAGATACTGCCGCATCCGAGCATTCGAGCCGCCTCACAATAATGTAGGGGTCTTAATAATTACCCATACTATGTTGGGGGGTTCCCTAAACCCTAAACCCTAAACTGGGCCTCCCAAGTGACACGGCATCTGAAGGATTCGGGTTTGGGTTTAGGGATGCTAGCGGGAAGCGGGGCGATTTGGGCTTAAGGGTTCAGGGCTTAAGGGTTCAGGGTTCGGTTTCGGCTTCGGGGTTCGTGACAGTTCGGTCTTCGAGGAAGGCTGAGGGCTGTCTGCAGAAGCTTTCGACACGATTCTTTTCAACTTCCTCGGGACGAGCCCCGGGTGTTTCTTAGTGGTTCCGGGGTCTAGTACTGTCCACACACGATGCAAAACAGGCAAGCGAAGACACACACACACACACACGCAAAAAAAAATGAAAATAGAATAAAAGGCATCATGCACGTTCACATGCGCACAGGCGCTAAAACACACACACACACACACTCGCGCGCACACACGCACACACACACACACACACGGACACACACGGACGGACGCAGATGCACGAGCTTAGAAGGTTGCCTGCTCCCGATATGACGGGAGTGTTCATGACCATCATGAGACCGAAAGGCGCCTCGCATCTTTGCCGGTTGTACCAATCACACCGACTGGCGGGCCACAGATGCAGAGCTTAGGCAAGAGCGATCGCGCCACGAAAGGCATGCCTGACTCAGTCTGCATGAAGAAGCATCCTTTTGGACAATGCCGCTCTGAGCCAGGGGCAAGCCACACGAGAAGATGTCGCCTGAGGCTTTGATCTCTTCTGCAGCTGCACGGGTAAAGCTCTGATGCCAAGTGCCTCAATACCTTTGTCATTGTTAGGCAGCCTTCCACGACTACTTCCCGCAATCACTGCATCGCTGGTATTGCAACTGGTACTGCTACTGCTACTGCTGCTACTGCTGCTGCTGCTACTACTACTACTACGACTTCTACTTCTACTTCTACTTCTCCTCCTGCTGCTGCTACTACTACCACTACTAAAACCACCACCACCGCCGCCACTGGTACGGGACTACTGTTACGATCGGCACAAATCGCCACTGCCTCTCCTATGTTCACTCTGACTGCAAATGCTGGCGTTGGCATGCATTGTCTTCGCAACAGCAGCAGTAAGTAGCAACAGTAACACTACATCTAGTAAGAATAGTGGCAGCCACAGGAGTAGTACTGTAGTAAGCAGCAGGAGTCGTGGTCGTGGTTGCGGTAGTAGTCGTAGCAGCGGCAGCAGCAGCAGCAGCAGCAGCAGCAGTCGTAGTACTACGACTACATGTGTGGTCGTGCTTGTTCTGTCCTATTCGCGCCATTAATGACTAAGCGGGAGCATAAACGAAAGCTTTGCTCCATTAACGACGGTTACAGCTACTGGTATCGTCATGTACCGTCACTAAGACTGACTGAGGAGAAAACACTCCGCTCGGCGCGTGGCATGTACTCTGTGTTCGATGTTGCGCCGGATGCCAGCTTAGGCTTTCGAGTTTAGCGTTGAGGGCTTGGAAGGCCTATTGCAGTTCTACAGGGTCTGATATGAAGCATCCCCCCGAGTGGGCGACAGATATGCACCAGAAGCTCCAAAGCCTACGAATTACTCCCCAAAGCTCTGAAAACTTGAACCACAATCACAAGCATCCCATAGACCCGAAGCTCGAAAGGCCTTCAGCATAAAACCCTAAAGCAAAAATCCCCAAAACCTAAGCTAAACCCCGCGGCCATAAACCCCAAGCATGCCCCAAGTCCTAAAATATCAAGCCCGATAAGCCCGAAGCTTGAAACCCTAAAGCCCTAAGGACCTAAAATCCGAAATTCTAAAGTAAAGCCCCAAATCCAAAAACCCTAAACCGGAAACACCTCCATTTGCCAATCCTACAAGCCTCGAAACCCTGAAACCCTGAATATGCCTGAACCCTAACTAACACCGAAAAACCCTAAAATCCTCAGGACCAGCTGCCACCCTTGAGGTGCATCATCACGTTGCCCAGGAGGAGGAGATGCGCTGCAGGCCTAGCCTGATACGCCCCCTGAGCCCTTCATCTACCCTCTTCTACTTGGAGGTTCATGGGTAGTTATAAGTCGGGTTATAAGTAGGTAGGGTAACTACACTTATAACCCATATTAGGGGACTTACAACTCCACTTATAACTACCCATGAACCTCCAAGTAGATCCCTAATATGCTAGTATTCGGGACCATCCGTTTGAGGGTACCGGGAAGTGAGGGTCCTACCCAATTCTTCACCCTTGACTGGGCCAAGTTGAGGTTGTGGAGCCTCTGGAAGATTGATCAGAAGGATTTCGTGGAGGAAGGGCTTAGCGGCGCGACCCACCTTTAGACTTTTGGAAAGTGCAGTGCTCCAAGATCTTGCAGCACTCTGGACTCTAGCCCTACTTTGTCACCCCCCCCCCCCTTGCAGCGAGGGCGCCGACCGCAATGCTAAGTAGCCGGCAGTGGCTTCGACTATTTGGAACTCCGTGGTGGAGGTGTCCCCGAAGGTTTCAGACATGGTCCTCAGAGCCCAGGGCATCAAACTCATGAAAGTCTCCTTCCTGGGGCCCTCTGACAAGGGGGGGCTTCTGAGGCCGAGCACTCCGGATGATGCTTCAACATCAAGGTCATGTCCACGTTGCCCTCGGAGGAAGCGACAGGAACCGTGGAGTCCGAGGACCCATCATAATTTACATATATATATATATATATAATTATATTTATATTTATATTTATACTTATATTTATATCCATATCTATATCTATATTTATTTATGTATTAAATTTTTATATGAATATTTATTTTTATTTTTATTTATAAATGTATTATTTATTTTAAATAGGCTACGGCAGCCCCTGCCCTTCTTCTGCCACTAGGGCATGCTTACGAACCGGTAACGGTAGCTTCCGGGTGTACAAGCCGGAACTCCGAAACAATGAAACGCTTACGCGTACCAGATAGCCTCAAGCGGAGTGCCTTCGCGGCCTCAGCTGCAAACTCCTTAATGTACACATTCCTGACAGCTTCGTTCTCTCTGGGAGGGTGTGGAGGGATGCAGTCAAACAGCTGGAGTCCTGTTGCGCGGTGACAGCCACCAAATGTGAATGGCACTGACCTCAAGCTTCCAACATCCCTATGAACTGCACCGATACTTGGTAATGCTACAGCACACCTGAGGCACTCTGCAAAGGCCCAGTGGCAGATCCGCGTCGCAAAAAAGACCTTAGCGAGGCCAGCTGTTGGAAGATCTCGGGCAATACTCTTTTCCGAACGCGTTCCTTCTGGGTGCGGTGCGAGGCAAGCTCCAACCGTTTGGATTGTGAGCTCGCCGCCCGCCAGGATGGTGATCACCATTGATGTGGCCTCACGAAAGAGCGGAGTGGAGTCGAGCACACCGCTCATCGAGATCACAAAACTTCGATTCCGTGATTGACTGGGCTTGGCACTTCGACCGCCGTACTTTGCCAGCGGCCAAGGCTGATGTCTATATGTTTGAGGAACCCTGTACAACTTACGGAGGCCAGTTGTGTCTGCAGGTCGACTGCTGCAAGCACATTCTCAGCATTCAGTACTTACCGTCCCATGGCAGGCAGTGATGTACTGTGCGCACTCGTTCACAAACGCATGGAGGGAAGGGAAGTTTTGTCGGCTATCGGGACACCTGGGCCCGGCAAGTCAGTTCTACCCAAACGAGGTTCGTAGGGCCGAGTTTGAGCCAATGGCTTCGGAGGTTTCGCCATGCAAAGAGAAGCCAACCTGCTCTGGTCTCCATGGGCCCAACTTTGGACACCGCCATCTCCTCCGGGGCTATGATTCTCGACTTCTACGCCAGAATCCAAGGGCTTCTCTGCACACTCCTTGACGGGGGTCGGCGTCTGCGTATCCTGCATGGCATAGCAAGACGTCAGACAACTATCTGCGGAGATGGTCTGTTAGAGATTTGAGCAGACTCGGCCCGTTCCGTTGATGCTGAGAGACACTTTGCAACAAGAACTACTACTACTACTACT